TGTATAATAATAAATTGATAATATCTTCTAGCAATATGTAGGCTAAATAAATTGTTTTATACTTCACCCAATCAAAAAAATGGTAAGCACACATCTAGCAGTAAGACAATAAATTGTAAGAAATTAAATTTGAAAAAAATGGCCTGAAAATATCTGTTTGCCCGGTAAGAATTGTTGGGCCACTCCGCCCCTGTTTTCTCATATCAGTTTATTTATACATGAACAATATAACTATTTACTTTTATTTTATCATATTTTTAATATGCCGGTGAATTTGGAATCAGCAATTCGGGAACATGTAAAGTCGGCCAATTAGGGTGTCAGGCAGAGCCCAATTTAGGAATTTTGGTGCCCGGCCGCCTGGGTCGAATTTCTAATGGGGGCACTTAACTATTATGTAAATTTTAAATTATCAACTTAAATTATAAATGTAGTCTTTATGCTATATAGATTTGTTATATTCGATTTATTTTATAAGATTATAAATCAATTATACCATAATAACTAATAAGGCTATAAGTAATTATTTACCTAATGACAATTAATATAAATAAAACGATAAAATTAAATATATAAATATAAATTAAGAAATGTTGGTACAGTTTTTAATTCAAACAAATGTTTACTGATATACATCATGTCATTACATATTTTGTTCGTTATACGGTATAACTTATACCGCGATATTTTCAAGGGACCGGTAGTTTTATTCGTTATATCRAGATTTTCGTTATATCGCGAGTTGACTGTACTCGCAATATTAAAGATTTCAAAGTAGTGAACTTCAGGCTAACTATTCTCATAGTAGAGGGAAAATTCTTCAAAATTGCATCATAATCTTATTAGGTGATTTTAATGCAAAAATTGGTAAAGAAGAGTGCATCAAAGCAACTGCTGGATCGAATAGTTTACATCAGCTATTAAATAACAATGGATTCAGACTAATCGAATTTACAGGAAGGGGTTTAAAAATAAAAAGTACATTATTCYCACATAAGGAAATACATAAACGTACCTGGAGGTCCCCAGATGGCAGATACACTAACTAAATTGATCATGCATTGATGACTACTCCGGTACACTCCGTACACCGAGTCTTCATATTATTTAATAACTTACGATTTGTGACAATATTTATACACGAAAATGTCTCTAAATAGTAAATATTGGTCTTAGGGGAGGATTTACCAATTCCCCCCCTTAAAGCTAAATCTTTTTTTTTATCCCTCTCAGAAATCATTTCTAAGCCACAGCGTAGACATAAGTGACTAGTGTAGAGAAAAAGACTAAACTTGAGCATGGGGGCCGGGGGRATATAAGTCGCTCAATAACTAATTGAGGTAGTTAGTCTAGTAGTACTGTAATTTCATAGATAATAAAATGGATAGGACATAATGGTCTTATTAGCGGTACTTAAATTTTACAATAGAGGCCAARTAAGTATATCTATATCGATTATCGACTATCAATATAAAAGCATTGATAGAAAGGCCTAAATCGGCAATTGCCTTCGCCTCCAGGAACGCAGCCACAAATATATTTAACATAGTCGTGGCCTATCCATATCTTTGTTTTCTATGCGTAATTTGTAAATTCTTGACTCTTGTTAACTACTAAATAAAGCTAATAGTAAGGAGTCGCGCCTGTTTGTATTCGTCGTCGACTTCACAGCTGATCGTCGTCGTCGACTTCACAGCTGATCGTCGTCGTCAACCGGTACGGACGACACGCTATGGTGCGAACCGTTCGGCCGTCATCGAAAATCGCATTGGCGCATTGCACAATCACGCCCTAAAACGTCTAAAACTGTTTTGTTCTACGAAACTACTAATTTGGAATTGCCTACGGCCTAGACGGTTAGTCACTCAGTCAGTGGATGCGACTCGCAGATAATAATAATATGAGAACTTTTAATAATATCGTAATCTATGCTACGTGCGCTGTTCGAAAACGATTCGACGTAGCCGAATCTGAATATAATATTGACTTAAAAAACGATTTCGTCGTTATCATAATATAAACACAAATATTGTAATCAGTATCATAATAAATAATAGTGCTTATTTTATTATTTTAATGCGTGGCACGATTTATTATAATAAGTAAACATGACACTATAATAATCATTACGAATACGGTAAGCCGTAAACAGTTGGTAAGCAGCCACCTAGCTTGCGCATTGTGCAACAGCGAACAGTCGTGGTTGCGCGTAAAGTACTAAAGTGCGGTGTACCTGTGCATGCGTGTGTGTATGCATATTACTTATCTCTGTTTGTGTGTGTGTGTGTGTTTGTGTGTGTGTGTGTGTGTGCAAATACATATGTGTGCGCGCGCGCCTGTCGTGTTATCCTTATCTCGTTCGCGACCCAAAACGCACTCTCTCTAGTCTGCTTAAGCAACTTGCTATAGTTAAATTGGTTTGGAAAATTAACCCACGCACGCACGTACGCAATTATTACTACTGTCTTTGTCATTACGATTTACCATTATTGGTTATTAATTTATTATTTTAAGTTGTACACAGTGCAATTGTTCATACGACCGCCTCTACGTTATGTGTGTAGTACCTACATTAATCCGATCACGTTCGCCCGCATTCGTTGCATTGAGACAATAATCGATCGTGATTATTGATGGTCACCGTCGTCCGGTTGCTGAAATCTCCGGCGCTGCATCAACAGTGACATTGTCGTCGTACTTAGCGCTAACACTCATGGCGTCGTCGTGTCCGCCGCCGTAGTACGATCGGYAATCGTCGATAACGTCGGGAGAGACGTTTCGACTTTTTCCCTGCTGTTCTTCTCCGTATCACCCGATCGCTAGCCATATGCCGACGAGTACAGCGCAGTCCCAAATCGGAGCTAATATTATAATATTGTGTTGGAGTGCACTTGCTGCCACCGAGCTGTGCTGATTGACCGTCAATACACGGTAAGTGCCACTCCCCCTCGTCCATTCACCACGACTAAATTTACAGTATCACGACGTATATTTTTTTTGTTTTTGGTCAAAATATTAGGTATATCATAATGTTTTGTTGTCTTCTCCCGTATCGTGTCACTCGAGTTTTGATATTAGTGTCTATCAGGCAACGACCACTGTTAGCTAGCTCTCTGTTATCGAATTGTTTGTCGTCTTCTTGACATATAAATAAAATTTCATATCACACTCTACACTATTTCCCTGTTTATTTGATTGGCTGACAAGCGTTTCGTTGGTCATCATMATTGTTTCTAGGTCAGGACGATTGATGAACATTTCGGATAATGCTGTTATATAACAGTGTGATAAACATATGGGCTTTTGTCCTAGGTCTTTGGGTCTTATCTTAATTACCTACATTTCAGAAGTATGAGATTCAAGTGCTAAAACCCCACCTGAACATAATCCATTTTTTCTTTTATCAGAAGGTCTTTCTTTTTTGTACCAAATGAGTGATTGTAAATTGTATCGAGTGAGTAAATCATAAGATGAATCACTTCTCGTTTGATGCATTAGGTGTCAATGTTAATTATTATTTTAATTGTGGTTGTCTAAAATAATTATGTCAGTTTGACTTAGGGTATAACTTATGTAAACTGTACTTAAACGATTTTATTAATTGCTAAATTTAGGTATTAATGAAGTAATGTGGATTCATTGTTAATAATTTGATTCATAATTAGTATCTTGTGATTTCTTTTGTGAGTGTCGGCATACTTAATATTTTGGAGATAACAAAATAAGTTTTTTTGATTGAGTATCTGGGCACTTGAGTTTCATGAGTCAAAAGGTAGGTAGATATTGACTATGGCATTATGTATATTAATTATAATAAATTGGTACACACCAATTGCTGCTATATTCTGCACCAGAAGAAAGCATTACTGTGATCAAGCCAGTACTCATGTGAATCTGTGCAATCTCCATTCAGCAACAGTTTGTTAATGTTTGGTATGTTTCACAACACTTGACGCTATAATTTATATTTTATATATATATATAACCAATAATATTATGGCATAAAGTGGGGGGGAATTGTGCCTTGGACCAGTCACTACCATCACTCTGGATGTATGAGACAATCTCTCTCTTGGTATGGAGTATAGTTTTGTATCCGGTGTTGTAGTAGCTAATTTTAATTACCTACGAAACAAAACTATGTTACTACTAAGCTTACAAGACTTATAGCAAACAATTTAAAGCAGTACCCATTTAAAAGATAAAAATTTAATTTTGTACCTACCACTGTTATATTGTTTAGCCCTCGTTCTATCTTTAATAATTATTTAAATTATATTTGGTCTCAACCTAAGTATAAAACGAATAAATTAAGGATTAATTTATGTTCCCCACATTGTTTTCTATACCTACTTTTTGAATAGGAATTTTTTTTCAGTTATACCTAATTAATATGTTTCATTTGTTTTRATAATCATAAACAGTACTATGAATTCAATTATTTTTTATTTCGATAAATTTTATTCTTAACTCAAAATTAGTGAGATATAAATTTACTTCATTATTACCATTATTATACAATTATTTCATTATTATCACCTTACTATTCTAAGTAAAAAATTTTATTTAGCATATTTTAGATGTTAATGCATACCAATATGTAAAAAAAATTATGAATTTGATGCTGTGCATTAATATATGTATATAATATACTTTATATTGTAGTATAATACCTTTTTTTTTCTAATTGAAACAAAATTTAATATATTTACAATCTGTATTTACAAGTTATAAATAAGTAAATTGGATGAGATTTGATTGTCGGGAAGGGGAAGTCACCCAGTGGTGGCATCCCTGCGGAAAGCGAAATTTTAAGCAGAGAGTAGGTCCCTGCACCAGTTCCTTTTCAGGCACATGGGTGGGTTACCTGSAATTTCTTTGGATGATAGTTGCTTAATTATAGGATTTGAGTGAGTACTGTATTTTGCGTGATTTTTTGTAGATGATCTTAGCGAGATTTTTTTAAGGTTGGAATGCAGATGTCTTTATGGAATGAATCATGCATTGGTGATATACCAAGGGGCACCTGATAATAATCGTAGACATTTAGACTGGAATGCCTGTATTGTTCTGACATTTGACGGTTTGGCTGAGCACCCAATTTGAATACCATAGTACCATATAGGTCTTAGAAGGGCCATATAAGGGCTATATATTGTTTTTAATGAGCTTTGAGCAGAGTAAGGGTGGAGGTGAAGTCTCTGATTGAGATCTTTACTCTTGTTTTATAAGTGAGGACCCCATGTAAGGCGTTTTTCAAGAATTAAACCCTAGTATTTGGTTTGCGTGGAAAATGAAATTTATGCATTACCAACAAAAGTTGGGTGACATTTCAAAAATCTAAGTGTAAAGGTAATTTGAGAGGATTTTGATGGATTGACTTGTATTTTCTAGTTGTGAACCAAGTGTTTAGCACAGTTAGGTGGTTTTGGATTTTTTAAGCAGCTTGGATGTGATCTTTGTTGATAACAAAAATAGCAGTATCATCCGTAAATGTACAAAGTAGAGTGTTTTYGTTTAGCGGTAGGTCGATGGTAAAGATATTGAATAGAAAAGTAGTTATGTCACTGTCTTGRGGAACACCAGCAGTTGCTATTTGAGAATTAGAARTGGTGCCGTTCATTTTTGTKACAAATGTTCTTTGTTTTAGATAAGATTTAATTAGTAGGTAATATGGAGCGGGCAAGAAGGATTTAAGATTGAAGAGTAGGCCTGGGTGCCAAACTCTGGCAAAAGCCTGTGCAATATCGAGGAAAATACCCATACGGACTTTTTTGCTCTCGAATGCTTCAAAATTTGATAGACAACTCTGTGAAGTTGGCGTATTGTGTGGGTTTGAACCCGAATTGAATGTCGTGAATTATTTTATTTTCTATGGTAATTTTTGAAATTCTTTAAAGGTGTAATTTTTTGAATAATTTTCCATCAACAGACAGAAGGCTTATAAAGTCGATAAGAGAATGGATTTTTGGGAGATTTGTCTGGTTTATGAATCAGTATAATTTGAGCATGTTTCCAGATAAATGGCATGTACAAAAGGCGGAGCATAGAGTTGAAAATATATGATAATAGGATTATTGTTTTGGGTGATAGTTGTTTTAAGAGCGAAACAGTTATGAAAGTATGACCAGGTGCTTTACCGTTTTTTAGATGTTTTATATAGAAAAGTACTTCATTTGGGTTTGTAGGTTTGGTAGGTAAAGAGACAGGTAGTGGGCTATCCAAGATCTTATATACTCTGGCTGAGTGCTGGGGATTAGTTTAGATAATGTTTGGTTAAATACTGTTGCAAGGTGTTTGGCAAAATCATTGAATTATTCAACATCTTCAGTGATTTTAGAGTTATCGGGGCGACGGAGTGTAGGAGAAGTGGGTTCAATGTGTCTAAGGATTTTTTGGTTGTTTTCCAAAGCTAACTATTTGTTGGATTTAGGTTTGAAATTTAAGTATCATAAGATTTATTTTTGTGATTTTGGAGTTGTTTTTTAAGTTTGTTGGGTAGGTTGTTATTAAAGATCTGCTTGTCGTTGGGATAAGTAATTGTGATTTGCCATTTAGAACGAGCCTTTCTTTTTTGTCTTAAAAGTTCATTTATGTGGTCTAGTAGTGGATATTTGTCCAGGATAGTGTTTGAAGTGGTTGAGTTGTTACTTGTACGTGATATAATACCTAKGTACCAAAAATTTAGATAGTTAGATACTTTTATTTTTATATATTATTAATCCCATTTTTAGTATTATTCTCGTGTTGTTTATTAAAAAACCCATAAACTGAAATGTTMTTTAATTTTAATAAATACATTTTAAATTATTAGTCATATACAACGTTTATTTTAAAACGCTTGCACCCTTGCTTGTACTATATAGCTTGAGAATTTAAAACCGATTTAATTTCAAACCATTTTAAAGCCATCATATAAACATAGTTATGGTTTAGAATTATTTGTGTATATTTCTCTAATTTTGATTGTTTAAATATGTTTATTCATGGCCTTGATCATAATTTAAATGTAGATGTGAAGGTATTTGATAAACTAAGAGTTTTATTTTATCATATCCATTTGTTGTTTAAATCTAAATCTAATATTTATTATATTCTTTGATCTTCACATCCAAGAAGTGTTATATTGTTTTATTAATTTTTGGTATAAGTTAATTATCATCTGGATATAAGAAAAACTTAGCATCAGAAGGTACCCACACCGATTTTTATGTTGTATAAGTAAAAAATAACACTAACCTTACTTAATTTAGGTTATTAAAATACATTTTTTTACTAATGATATCAGCATTAATTTTATTTTTGGCATTTATTTTATTTTTATTTTTAATAATAACTTACATACCTAACTATTCAGTAGTATTTATAATAGAAACATTTAGCATTAAAATAAAAGAATAATAAAAAATATATAGGTACTTGAGTACAGCATAAAGTTTTGAAATAGTATTGCAATTTGGTAGTGCCCTTTTGATTTTGTCTTTTTAATAATTATTTAATACAATTATTTAAGATACAATCAATATTCAATCATGACAACTAGTTTCTTTTATTTTTTGTATTTTATAGTAGCTATGAAATAATAAACAAATTGTAGGTACCTAATATCAGTACTGCAACTAAGGTTTTTAGAGCCGGGGTGCAATACCAAATAATAGGGCCCTCTACTTTTGAAAATTTTACAAAAAATATTTGCATGAAAAATATATTTATATATGTAAACGTTAAACATCCATCACCATTTAAATTTCCTTTTAACTAAAAAAATACAAATTTACACTAGATAATAATGGTTAATACCTTTAAAATTATAAAAAAAATTTTCATATGTTTAAATATTATACATAATACATATATTTACACCATTATACAAAATAGTAAATACATTTAAAATTATAAAAATAATTACATATTTATAATATCAACATTACTTTAAAAAAWTTTTTTTCCTGCTTTTTTGATTGGCAAAGTCAACAATTAATTTTTCTACATCAAGTTCTTCAGTGCGACCTTTTTCTATATTTAAAATACTTATGTTTGTTAGTTGATCTTGAGATATTGAGTTTCTTAAATAGTTTTTAATCAGTTTAAGTTTAGAAAACAATCGTTCGGCCGATGCAACAGTCACTGGTAAACTTAAAAATATAATACAACATGTAACAACTTCACTATACAACAGCGTTTCCCAAACCATRGGTCGCGAAATTTTTTTGATGGGTCGCGACTCGCGGTTACGATTACAGTTATTTTAGTCGTAAATTGATAAATAGTATAAATAACTATATTACAATAACTAGTATTGTAGAATAAATGACGTAAAGTTATTAWGATTATGGAATTTTTTTTATSTTATCGGTRAATGTGCTAATGACTAGTAACTAGTCGATATTCACACTACATTTTCTATTATACTAATTTTTTGTATTTTTTTATWATTTATTTTATTTATTTATTAATTAAGTTATTATTATTCAGTATATTGTATTCGTATTGTATTTTATAAAAAAACTCAATGATAAAATGGATTATAGTAAAAATCTTATTTATTTAAGGCATACTTTTTTTAAGGGGGGGGGGGGTCGCGTACCTAATAAAGATTAAATGTATGGGTCACCATTGCAAAAAGGTTGGAAAACGCTGATATACAATGATAATAGGTCGTTTTCTATTAAATATAAACATAATTCTKTAATTGTTTTCATATCAGTGTTTTTTATAAATTCCCCTGTAAATTCCTTTAAAGATTGAACTTGACTAGTTAAATCGGAAGTTACATCAGTTTTGTAAAACKAATTAAAATCATAGCATGATTTTACTATTTCTGCTTCATTTAATTTTATCATATTTGGTGGCAATAAAAAATTAAAAGTATTTGATACTATTTTAAGTCCTTTAAAACGATCTTCTAGTTGAAATAAAGCAATATCAACTAATGGTAAAAATACTGAAACATAAAATTTTTCTTCTGTAATATCCAATCTCCTGTCACCATCAACTTCACCAAATCGTTTTTTARAATAAATTTTTCTTTTATTTTCATTCTGAAATTGTATTCCTCATTTTAGACACATATTTTTTGCTAATTCTACCAGTTCTTTATAATTATGTCTCATGTTTTTAATTGAATTAATACCAATTTGCAAAAACTCACTGGCTTGGTGGATACTGGTTTGTGAGCACTGTAACACCTTGGATACCACAGATAATGGTTTCAAAACATTTTCCCAAATAATTATAAGCCGGGTTATAAGCAAAACAAACTCATAAGATTTTATTTTTTTTTAAAGAGATTTTGCTCTATTTAATTCATCACTTTTTTTGCTAGTTAGTGAAATATTTGTCAAMGATTTCAACACATTAATACAATTTTCTTTTAATGCATATACAGATGAATGTCTAGCTTCCCATCTTGTATTACAAATKTTTTTTACAACTTTTTTTTGTATTTGATTTGCTATATCATCTCCAAATGCTAATGATGCCCATCTAGGAGCACTTTGGCTGAAAAAAAAATATATTTTGACTATATCGAAAAATGTAGACATTTTTAATGGACTTTTGGCAACATCAGAAATTACTAGATTTAAGTTATGAGCAGTACAATGTACATATRAGGAACTARGGACTATATCAGAAATCCTTTTTTGTACCMCTGATTTAGCATCGGTCATAACTGAGGCTCTGTTGTAGACTTGTTCTCTACATTTTGTAACATCTAAATTATATTTTTTCAAAATATCAAGTATTAATTTAAAATGACCTTCTGCGCTATGATTCATCAATGCATAAAATCCTAAGAACAATTCCTTTATTTGCACATTATGTTCATTATAATTCACAACAATATACCTCAGTATCACAGAAATCTGGTCAATTTTGGCTATGTCTTGTGTTGAATCCACTATGATTGAGAAACACTGTGCCTTTTTTATTTCTTCACATATATTTTTTCTTAACTCAGCAGCCAATAATTCAATAGTTCCTTTTGTATCTTCCAACTTAAATATTTTATTTTTGATTCTTCAGTATATAAAAGTTTACTTAAAATAGGATCAAACTCTGCCATCAATTTAACTGTGCGTAAAAAATTGCCTTCAGAATTACTGTTAGCTTTTCCTTCATTTCCCCTCAATGCAGTATTTCCTGTGTTAAGGCATAATATTATTTTTATTAAYCGTTTTAAAACTTCTCTCCAGAATTTTGCTTCTTCRGATATATGCTTTTCCAAGTTTTTATCTATAGTTTCATTTTTCAACCAAATGATTCGCAATTGTGTGGCTTCTACATGCTGTGTACAGTTTTCATGTTTGATAATTTTTTGGGTTAAATGTTGCCAGTCATTTATACCATTTATCCAATTTAATTGAAGTTTATGATTTTTTCGATCCGCAAACAACCAACAAGACTCACAATATACTTTTTTTAAAACTAATGAATAACACAGCCACATTCTAGGTACTTTAACACCGGCTTTATTAATCATATAATAATAGTCTTTGGAAAAGTGTCTGCTAGATTTCATAGTTTCATTTTCATCACTAAAAATGTTGTTTGAAGRAAAGTTTATTGAAGGTTTACAAGGACCATATGATAGAATTTGTTTTTTAAAATTAGAACTGATTGTGATATTTTAAAAATGTCCTCTATCTGTTGGAAACTCCAACTTTAAATCCAATTCA